CGACAGCCCGATCTGTGTCCTTTTGATTGTGCGAGATCGAAAAAAAAAATCTAATACTGAGTTATGGGTCACAATGTTTTGACTTTTGACTCTAATCTAAAACGTTTTGTTAATTGTTCAAGTTTGATCATGATAAATGAAGTTGTTGTATAACTTGATTTACTCAAAACAAATAAACGATGATTTCAGTATCTAATAATAAGTTTAATAATTGATAATGACGTTTTCAATAATAGACCTCCCATTTAAATTGATATTTTTCATTAACCTCATAGGGAGTTTTCTAAAAGTCGTATATGCGGGTTTTTTCTTTTTCCTGTTGAGTAATTAAAGGGTTTTACAAAAACACAACGGGAGTCACTCAAGGGTTTTTGAGGTTCTTTATAGGGAACAAAGTAAAAGTTTATGTTAGCAAAATGCTGATTATAATTTTAATGATTATTACTACACGTCGTCACAAATATTTTTAATTAACTGCCACCGATTTCCAAGTATAACCATCATTATTTCGTAATTAATGTTTGCCACCCCTGAACACACAAACCCTGTGATTTTGTAATTAAATAAAAACTAAATATTCAAAAGTTGACAACATGAAAATGGGTCTGTGTAAATTGGACCTTTTCTAACTGAGATGTTTCTCAATATTAATAAATCCCATAGGGGCAATTTTGTTAACCCAAAAAAAGTGAATTGATGACCAATCCAGAGGCGCACAGCGAGTGGTCAGCTCGTCACCTCGTTGGCGACTTCTGATTTCAAATGAAAATGAAATATTTAAATTGGAATCGAGCCGCCAGGGTCATAAGCCACTGTGTTAAGCCCGAGTGAAATGGCGTGTAATCACTCTGGGTCAGCAGGAGGTATTTTTAACTGCTTCACTGGTAAAGTGATATAATTTTATGGCTACTGATTTACCATTACTTATTCTGATTCATTGTTAAATTTAAAATGTATGCGCCCTTGTCTCGTGGCAAATTAACCCAATTTCCTGAATTCGAGGGTGAGAATGACGGATTTTTGAAGTGTGTCCAGGGTCGGTAGCACTTCCGGTCGTTTTTACCTATAGAAAATGGAAAAAAATGCGTCGCGGTAGTGCACAACACCCCTCAAACGAGACGCCGAGAACACGTGCACGAAATGCTCCGATTAGTCGTGGACTAAAAAAACGCGACTGTTTCCTGGGTGTTAGACAAAATTTCCTGGGAAAAAAATTATTTGTTTTACCCGCAGGAATATAGGTGATGTAAAACGGATCGATCTTAACCGATATGTGTATTGTAGCCGTCAAAGCAATCGGCACCTGCCAATAACGCGTTTCGGTCTCATAAATATTAATGAGGAAAGCCGGCACACTGCGTTTGGCCAAATAAATATCCGTTTTCGAAAAATGGCACCAGCAGCAGGTGAGCCATACACTCGCCGTTATGCATCTTCAGTTATTATTTAACCAATTATTTTAATTTCGCTCGCACTTCTTGAGCATATTTTGAACTTTTCATGGAGCGTGTTCTTTCTAATAGATGAGGAACTATTTAAAGGCCTTCGTCATTTTGTCCAGGAGAGCCTGAGATACAAGGAAGAAAAGAGGCACTGCTTAGAGAATTTTGTTAAATTCTAGGTACACCCAGTGGCGTAGCCAGGATTTTGTCTTGGGGGGGGGGGGGGGGGGGGCAAATTTGCAAGAAGCTTTTGTTGCGGCCCCACCGCGACCGCTGTCGGAGGCAAAAAGCCGCAGGCGCGAAATTTTTCTCGGTTTTTTTAAGCTATTTTTGGGACTGTTTATTTTAATTTTGATGAATTATTCATAAAATTTAAGGGTCTTGGAGGGGGGGGGAAATGCCCCCTTGCCCCCCCCATGGCTACGCCAGTGGGTATACCTATTCTATCATCAGTTGGGACCCCTTAAACTCCCTACACCAAATCATTCTGAGATTTGTAACCAAAATTTATGAAAAAAGGCACTCAGAAAAATTGAAAAATTGATAAATCAGCTCTCTATCTAAAATAGAAAAAAAGTTATGACCTTTCAAAGTTTTCCAAAATCTAAATCATAAGGTAGGTACCTTCTTACTAAATCGATGAAATTTCAAATTTTTCTTTGTCGAGATTTTATATCCTAATGTTCAATCAACGTCCCCCAAACTCCATACACTAAATTATTCTCAGATTTGAAGCCGAAATCTATAAAAAAAGGCACTCAGAAAAATTGAAAAATTGATAAATCACCCCAAATTGCTTAACACGATTTTATCTCAGGAACTATACGTGCAAATGAGTTGAAATTTTCAGGGATTGTAGTCCCTTGAAAGGGATAAAATTCAGTGAAAGTTTCAGCTCTCTATCTATAATAGGAAAAAAGTTATGACCTTTCAAAGTTTTCCAAAATCTAAATCATAAGGTAGGTGGTACCTTCTTACTAAATCGATGAAATTTCAATTTTTTTTTTGTCGAGATTTTTATCCTAATAGTCAATCAACATACCCCAAACTCCATACACTAAATTATTCTCAGATTTGAAGCCGAAATCTATAAAAAAAGGCACTCAGAAAAATTGAAAAATTGATAAATCACCCCAAATTGCTTAACACGATTTTATCTCAGGAACTATACGTGCAAATGAGTTGAAATTTTCAGGGATTGTAGTCCCTTGAAAGGGATAAAATTCAGTGAAAGTTTCAGCTTTCTATCTAAAATAGAAAAAAAGTTATGACCTTTCAAAGTTTTCCAAAATCTAAATCATAAGGTAGGTACCTTCTTACTAAATCGATGAAATTTCAAATTTTTTTTTGTCGAGATTTTGTATCCTAATAGTCAATCAACATACCCCAAACTCCATACACTAAATTATTCTCAGATTTGAAGCCGAAATCTATGAAAAAAGGCACTCAGAAAAATTGAAAAATTGATAAATCACCCCAAATTGCTTAACACGATTTTATCTCAGGAACTATACGTGCAAATGAGTTGAAATTTTCAGGGATTGTAGTCCCTTGAAAGGGATAAAATTCAGTGAAAGTTTCAGCTCTCTATCTAAAATAGAAAAAAAGTTATGACCTTTCAAAGTTTTCCAAAATCTAAATCATAAGGTAGGTACCTTCTTACTAAATCGATGAAATTTCAAATTTTTTTTCGTCGAGATTTTGTATCCTAATAGTCAATCAACATACCCCAAACTCCATACACTAAATTATTCTCAGATTTGAAGCCGAAATCTATAAAAAATGGCACTCAGAAAAATTGAAAAATTGATAAATCACCCCAAATTGCTTAACACGATTTTATCTCAGGAACTATAAGTGCAAATGAGCTGAAATTTCCAGGGATTGTAGTCCCTTGACAGGGATAAAATTCAGTGAAAGTTTCAGCTTTCTATCTATAATAGGAAAAAAGTTATGACCTTTCAAAGTTTTCCAAAATCTAAATCATAAGGTAGGTACCTTCTTACTAAATCGATGAAATTTCAATTTTTTTTTTGTCGAGATTTTTATCCTAATAGTCAATCAACATACCCCAAACTCCATACACTAAATTATTCTCAGATTTGAAGCCGAAATCTATAAAAAAATGGCACTCAGAAAAATTGAAAAATTGATAAATCACCCCAAATTGCTTAACACGATTTTATCTTAGGAACTATAAGTGCAAATGGGCTGAAATTTCCAGGGATTGTAGTCCCTTGAAAGGGATAAAATTCAGTGAAAGTTTCAGCTTTCTATCTAAAATAGAAAAAAAGTTATGACCTTTCAAAGTTTTCCAAAATCTAAATTATAAGGTAGGTACCTTCTCACTAAATCGATGAAATTTCAAATTTTTTTTCGTCGAGATTTTGTATCCTAATAGTCAATCAACATACCCCAAACTCCATACACTAAATTATTCTCAGATTTGAAGCCGAAATCTATAAAAAAATGGCACTCAGAAAAATTGAAAAATTGATAAATCACCCCAAATTGCTTAACACGATTTTATCTCAGGAACTATAAGTGCAAATAAGTTGAAATTTTCAGGGATTGTAGTCCCTTGAAAGGGATAAAATTCAGTGAAAGTTTCAGCTTTCTATCTAAAATAGAAAAAAAGTTATGACCTTTCAAAGTTTTCCAAAATCTAAATTATAAGGTAGGTACCTTCTTACTAAATCGATGAAATTTCAAATTTTTTTTCGTCGAGATTTTGTATCCTAATAGTCAATCAACATACCCCAAACTCCATACACTAAATTATTCTCAGATTTGAAGCCGAAATCTATAAAAAATGGCACTCAGAAAAATTGATAAATCACCCCAAATTGCTTAACACGATTTTATCTCAGGAACTATAAGTGCAAATGAGCTGAAATTTTCAGGGATTGTAGTCTCTTGAAAGGGATGAAATTCAGTGAAAGTTTCAGCTTTCTATCTAAAATAGAAAAAAAGTTATGACCTTTCAAAGTTTTCCAAAATCTAAATTATAAGGTAAGGTACCTTCTTACTAAAACGATGAAAGCGGAAATAATGACCATTAATACCTGTGGGTATAATATTTGGCATTGTACTGCCAAAATCACAAATATAATATTTACATTATATGTCAGTCGTAAATAAAAGTTTTTGCTGTAACGGTATAACTATACTTGATAGAGGTGGACTCTATGAAAGCATTAACAGTTCTAACAGCTATGACTTTCAATTGATTTTCTATAATGTTAGTCAGCTTTTCGGATCTGCCCTAATTTTCAGTTCTGAGAACAATAAAAAAATTAGCTAGAAAGTCATCATTATAAGTTATCATTTACCTTCCATCCGGTTTACCTATTTAATCGTACCGATAAGCGTGCGTTAATCATCAGAGGATTTTTTAACCGAACCCATTCATCGACACTTTCGTATACGTTACACCATCCTTTATCTTATCAAATCTGGCGACATACACTATTAATTCTTGAAAAAACTAATAAATTCACCGGGTCTTATACTAACTCCATCAGTGTGACAAAGTGATCTTAATTAAGTGAAATCAAAATGGGAAATTTTTGCTGTTGCAAGAAATCGAGCAGAAATAACTATAATGTGGCAGATTATCATGCAGAACGACCAGCTAGTGAAGAAATGGAGCTCCAAACACCTGAACAAACGCATCATCATCATGTTACATTTGCAACAATTGAACCTCCAAGAATTGCCCCAGAATCAGTTATTGTGAGCAGTGCCTTAGTTCCTACAGAGCCAGTTTTAGTGCGCGAACTGAATCAAATGGCTGCACCTCTTGCAGCAAAACGTGCCATATCTGTTGAAGCAAAATCATCAGGGTTTATTGTGGATGTGCCTCAGTTAGATGGTTTAGGGCCTGATGGTACTTTTTTGGTGGCTTTCAATCAACCGGAAATAAGAACGTGACACTTGGAATTGGATTTTCGACTCGAATAATATTAGTGGAAATTATTTATTGAATTTGAGGGTTATTTTTACGTTTTTGTATTACATTATATTTTTTAATAAAATATGATTATGTATTGAAAAATAGGTTTTTAATTCTTTATAAAATGAAATTCAGGCCAGAATCTTATATCAATCCTTGACAGATTGGCGAAGGATAAATTAAAAATTTCAAAAAAAAAGTTTCTTCTATAGGAGAGCTTGTTGAACTTATGGCAGCTTCACTTCTTTACCACCAGAGGCGGTTGAAAATATTTTTAGATAATGAAAAAGCACTTTACCAACTTCTTGATTCTATTCTAGTCATGGAAAAATTGTATAAAAGTATCAAAATCTACTAAAATACAATTTCTAGTTTTTCATTGAACACAAAAGTGACCTTTCGATAGAAAAATTCCTGGTACTGCCACTGACTATTAAATTAAAGTACCAACGTCTCGGGTACCCCCGTAGGGTACGGACGTAACCTATCCTAAGGTGCTTTTGTGTCTGAAGCGACACACGCGACTTGGAATTCAGACTTTTGCCATATGCGGGCTCATATCGCGATTAATGACATCAAGTTTTATAATATTATGCGTACTAAATAACCCCTATTAACTTCCATTAGGATTTTTTTTGAAGTCAGTCTCAGTTATTCCCACACTTTAAAAACTTCCAACCTTCTTTTATTGCACTATATTTACATCCAATCCTCCCATCATTCATGTACCAACGACTTTATAGATGGAAAAATCATCATATCAAAGGCGTATTGTATTTCATAGGTCGACTCCCAGGTAAAAGGAAGGCGAAAAAAAAATGCACCGAGGCAAAATCTAATCCTTATCAAAGTGTCTCAACCCTCCCAGCATCTATATAAATAATCCTAATGGAAGGACACAAATCGTCTATTTAAATATGGAGCGCGGTCTGATTTTTTACCCTTTTGCAGTTTCAGGTAAGAGGGTATTGGTAAAGGATTTAAGGGATGGAGAAAAAATGCTCCCATGTGAAGGTTCCTACACATTATTTATACAGGTATTTGGCTGTCGATCGTTGACCCAAGATTTAATAAAGGATTATCTTGTGAAGACTGGATTGAAAATTTGCAAGTAGATAGAAAATTGAAATTTTGAGCCAGTTTATTAAGATTACAAAACAGTACACAGCATTTTCCAAATTTCATAATTCCATCTCACTAATACTAGACTTCTTTGTCATTCTATTGCTTTACCAGCTTCACATTTTGGGACAGTATTGTCACACAGGCAGTTTTATAGTCGAGTCCAAGGGGTAAAATCTTAGTAAAATCATAACTTTTTTTTTTTTTCATTAGAGATAGAAAGCTGACATTTTCAGCGATTTTTATCTCAGTAGGAGACTACAATCCCTGAAAATTTCAGCTCATTTGGACATATAATTCCAGAAATAAAATCAATCTAAATTATAAGGTAACTTCTTATTAGGACGATGAAATTTCAAATTTTTTTTTTGTCGAGATTTTGTATCCCAATGGTCAATCAACATACCCCGAACTCCATACACAAAATTATTCTCAGATTTGAAGCTGAAATCTATGAAAAAAAGCACTCAGAAAAATTGAAAAATTGATAAATCACCCCAAATTGCTTAACACGATTTTATCTCAGGAACTATAAGTGCACATGAGCTACATTTTTGAGGGATTGTAGTCCTTTGAAAATGATGAATTTCAGTGAAAGATTCAGCTTTCTATCTATAATAGAAAAAAAGTTATGATTTTTCAAAGTTTTCCAAAATCTAAATCATAAGGGGGGTACCTTCTTACTAAAACGATGAAATTTCAATTTTTTTTTGTTGAGATTTTGTGTCCTAATGGTCATTTGATATCCCCCGAACTCCATACACTAAGTTATTTCCAGATTTGAAGCCGAAATCTATGAAAAAAGGCACTCAGAAAAATTGAAAAATTAATAAATCACCCCAAATTGCCTAACACGATTTTATCTCAGGAACTATACTGCCGTGCCAAGACTAAGGGGCGTAACTGACAATTTTATCGAAATTGGGGTTAAGGGGGTTTTGAATCCTTCATAACATATTTTAGCTTATTGCCAAGCCTAGGAGGCGTATCTGACTTCTAATATATTTTAAATCAATGATAAAATACTTTCTATCTACACTTTATCTTACAAATACCAAGCGAAATGGTCGTATCTAATATTTCCTAGAAGAAAAAGTCGTATGTGCATATTTACACCTTTTTAGGTTAGTATTGGAAAGAATATTTTGCAGTTTCGCCCTTTCAAACAATATTTTCAATATTTACTAATTAGTGGATTCGGCAACCAAACATGCAAACATCAATTTAGTCTGGAATAACTTGATATCAAGTATTTTGAACCTGGCCATACCTTCATGTCGGCAGATTCGTTTCACCATCAAGTTGAGCTATCTCTAAAGAAAAAAAATAAAGTATATGATTTCCATGATTTTGAAGATTGCATACAAACAGCAAATAGTGGTAAAGTTACTGTTATTAATCTGAAATATGGCGATTTTTAGGACACTTCTCAATATAAATTGAAAAATATCAAGCCTAGACCATATTTAAATCAAATGGTTCATCTACAATTTTTGAAAGGTGATTTCAACATGTCATACCGAAAAGAATTATCAGGCAACTTTGAAAAATTGAATTTTCTCAATTCCAAAGTAATAAAAAATGGATTTCCTACTGCTACTTCACAAAAAAGTCATAGAGGCATCCCAGAAGAAAGAAAAGCTGCTATATTAACAAAACTTAGTTCTGTAATTCACCATATTAGTTAGGTTAGAATCGCAAATTGGCGCGGGTTCCTAATTCAAAAATTATTACATTGATGTCTTATGGGGACTCAATTTTAAAAGCGTCTGTAGACGTGATAGAACGTTTGTTAGGGAAGTGAGTTGTATAAATAAATTTTTCAATATGTTAATTAACTGAGAGAGTGTTTGAAAGTTGAATAAACATTGTTAAAATAAAAATAATACCAATTTAAGAAGCCGATGTTTGTATAAAATTCGTATGTCGTTGCTTGATCCATAAGTATATATATGGGTACCTATATAATTATAATAAAATAAAAGTGTACCTACATAATTACTTGGTTAGTAGATGTACTTCAATAATCCAAAAAAATGGAAAAATAAATGACTGAACTAGTGATAAATAAATAAATAAACAATTCACCAACAATCATAACACAACACACAACCTCACTTTCCTACAGCTGGTTTTAGACCCGACGTACGTCCACCGAAAACAGACACTTTTAATTAAAATCATTTGTATTTTTAATTCATAGGTCTAAAAAAACAATTAGAGCATGAATTATAGAGAAATATGTTCAAAGTTTGACGTATAATAGCTTCAAATACTAAGAAATGTCCAGAACCCAAGATATTCCCGTCTGAAAATCACTCTTTTGAATCCCCCATAAGAAATACATTGCTGTCAAATTTGTTGAAATGTGTTTAGGAACCCATTTTAAATTTCGCGCCCGATTTTTCCTAACCTAACTAATATGGTGAATTCCCAAAAACAGGCTTGCCTTTTGAGAAAGCCTTTCCGTATTTTCTGGCACGGCCAACACATATGACATGTCAGAAGAAGCAGATGATTGAACAAAACTTCAAATTGGGATATTTAGTTTTTCAAATATAGAAAAAGTATCTTCTGATTTTTTGTAGATATGACTTTTGGATTTAGAAGCTGACACAAAATTCTTAAGAAAAAAAGGCGTATCTCTCATAATTCAAAAACTGAGAATTTTATGTAGTTTCTTCAAATTTCTGAGAAAAAAATACTTCTGATTAGTTTTTTCAAATTTGAAAAAATTAATTCCAATTAGTTGGTAATTGGGGAAATCTAAAAATCCCATTTTCTCAAAACTTTATTTTTGTAGATACGCCCATTAGTTTTGATACGGCAGCATAAGTCCAAATGAGTTGAATTTTTAAGGGATTGAAGTCCTCTACTGGAATAGGAATCACTGAAAATTTCAGCTTTGTATCTATAATAGAAAAAAAGTTATGATCTTTCAAAATTTTCCAAAATCTAAATCATAACGTAGGTACCTTCTTACTAAAACGATGAAATTTCAAATTTTTTTTGTTGAGATTTTGTGTCCTTATGGTCATTTGATATCCCCCGAACTCCATACGCTAAGTTACTCCCAGATTTGAAGCCGAAATCTATGAAAAAAGGCACTCAGAAAAATTGACAAATGGATAAATCACCCCAAATTGCTTAACACGATTTTATCTCAGGAACTATAAGTCCAAATGAGTTGAAATTTTCAAGGATTGAACTCCTCTACAGGAATAGGAATCGCTGAAAATTTCAGCTTTCTATCTATAATAGAAAAAAAGTTATGACCTTTCAAAATTTTCCAAAATCTAAATCATAAGGTATGTACCTTCTTACTGAAACGATGTAATTTCAATTTTTTTTTTGTCGAAATTTTGTATCCTAATGTTCAATCAACGTCCCCCAAACTCCATACACTAAATTATTCTCAGATTTGAAGCCGAAATCTATGAAAAAAGGCACTCAGAAAAATTGAAAAACTGATAAATCACCCCAAATTGCTTAACACGATTTTATCTCAGGAACTATACGTGCAAATGAGTTGAAATTTTCAGGGATTGTAGTCCCTTGAAAGGGATAAAATTCAGTGAAAGTTTCAGCTCTCTATCTAAAATAGAAAAAAAGTTATGACCTTTCAAAGTTTTCCAAAATCTAAATCATAAGGTAGGTTACCTTCTTACTAAAACGATGAAATTTCATTTTTTTTTTGTTGAGATTTTGTGTCCTAATGTTCAATCAACATCCCCCAAACTCCATACACTAAATTATTCTCAGATTTGATGCCGAAATCTATGGAAAAAGGCACTCAGAAAAATTGAAAAATTGATAAATCACCCCAAATTGCTTAACACGATTTTATCTCAGGAAC